TGTGTGTGTGTGTGTGTGTGTGTGTGTGTGTGTGTGTGTGTGTGTGTGGTATGACATGACTCCATATTTTTAAAAATTTTCACGTGTTATTTTTTTAATACAATGAATTTATAGGCATTGTCTGAACATGATCTTGGAATCAGATCATATGAGAATTCTCAGTGCTTGTGAGAACACTCAAAGACAAGAGTCTTGTGACTTCAGTGTGTTGCATGACAATATTTTTCAACAATCATTTTTCAAAGAATAGAGATTAGAAAAGATATTCTAAAAACTAAATGATTTTCAAAAACAGGGGAATTGAATTGACTTATACCTATGTTAAAATTTTTCATAGAACAACTGAAACCTTTATTTGATGTTTCAAAGGGGAATCCTGATCCTTCATCTCCTAGAGAATGCACTGAACCTTCATGTATTATAGCATTACAGCAGGTGGAACGTGCACCTAGGAATGCTCAACTTCAGCATATCTCATATCCTATCATGTTCCTGCATTGTAAGTTATCTGTTCCCCCAGCATTCCTATGGAATTGCTCTGGGATAACAGGTTAATAGAATGGATGCATCACAAATCTTGATATGGCTCATGAAGCCACTGTCTACTTTTAGAAAGTTTCTGTCTTTTAAAACCAGAGAAGTTGGAGAGACCACAGCAAGACTGGAGCTGTGCCAGTTTTATAGAGAACAATCAGATTCTTATACCTTTATCAGAAACAGAGTATAATGGCAATAGTATTGTAGTTGCCAAGATTCAATTATGTTTACAAGTGATACAGGGTATACAAGATTAATGTCTAAGACAAATTGTCCTGTTAGTCTTCCATGCTTCCTTGACTTCTGAAGGAGCATACGGAGAAACACAAAACTCCCTGAATGATTCACTGCCTGATGGAATGTGTGTCTTTCACAAAAAAAAAAAAAAAAAAAAAAAAAAAAAAAAAATTATTTCTTCTAGGTAAGTCATATTTAGAGTTTACAAAGCCCCTCACTGATGGAAGAAGAAAGATCATCCTTATAGGTTTGCAAATTGAGGACCAGAGAGTTTAATTATCTTATGCTTCTAAGAAGCTCAACACATGCAATGTCAGGATTTGAACCAAGGCCAGGCCACCCAGCCACCTTCAAGTAGATGGCATCAGAGTCTGACATCAAGGACCCAGTCCTTCAGGGCTTCTGGGGCGCCCCCTGTACTTGCTCAGGGAGGCTCCAGTCACGTGGTTTCCAATAGCCTGTGAGGTCCTGGGTCTACACCTGGATGGATGCAGTACTTTGTGTGGGGCTGCGCAGCCCTGAGGGTGATGGTTGTGGCTTCAATGTGTCCCGCCTGTGGGGAGAGAGGATGCAGCGGGGCACTGGGTAGCTGTCTGGGTAGGTAAAGCACTTGCTGTGAGTTCGAATCCCCAGCACGTATGTAAAGCCAGCGGTAGAATCACATCTCTAGTCTCAGCGCTCCCACAGAGAGGTGAGAGGCAGAGACAGGAGGATTCCCAGTGAGACCCAGTCTCACCCAGCAATCACCTCTGGACTCCACGTAGCTCCTGCCTCTTCTAGACCAATTCCATCCCTCCCTCCATAACCTCACCTGGCAGAAGTGAGAGGCTTTCTGGCACTCATAGCAGATTCAGTACTTGAGAGAGATATCCCAGAAGAGCCAGGAGGCAGTGGGATTCCCAGAGCACCTGCAGGTGCTGCATCAAAGTGTTGGGGCTCTGGCTTGACTGTGGAAAATGGGGGCTGGATCAAGGGCAGTTTCACTGGTTAATCACACAGTGCTTGCTTCATTCATACGTGACTCTCATTCATTCATACACTGGCTCTCACCTTAAGACACCCATTCATTAATTTGCTTGGTCATTTACTCATCCAATCATACCATCACTTCATTCACTTATTGTTCACTTCACTTATTGTTAAATCCTTCACTAATTCATTCCTTTACTCAATTAGTCGCCTGCTCACTCACTCATATATTTGTTTGATTCAAGTATAGATCTCTTCATGGATTTATTAAGTGATTCACTTTCATTTATTCATTTATATTCTCACTAATTCATGCATTTCTTGATTCATTTAGTCATTCAGGAATTAATTTCCTCAGTCAGTAGGTCATAAACTCATACCTGCTATCCTTCATTCATTCATTTGCTCATTAAGTCATTCATGTGTTCATGAGAGAGTACTCATGTCAGTCATTAACTCACTCATGTCATTAATGGATTCATCATTCACTCATCTGCTCAAGGAACAAGCATTTGTTGAAATCAGTCTCATCACTGCTGACAGAACTCATGATACTCACACAGGCAAAGACAAAGTTTCAGAAAGCAAGTCCCCAGAGGGATGAAGGGCTTTTCTGAGACACCTTCTGATCATACAAGACTGTGCTGGAGAACATCTGGTGCAGTGAGTGTTACCATTACTCTGCCTGCTTCTAGAATTCCTTCATGCCAACACAAGCCCTACACCCATAAGCCCTCTCCTGTCCCTCTGGGGCCCTCAGCACCCACAGTTCTCCTGTCTCTAGCTAGATTCCCTGTCCTGCAGCCCACATTGTGTATTGTGTCTGGGATACTCACTAAGCACAGTGTCTTCAAGGTCCCTCCACACTGGCTGGCAGCAGAATCTCATTCTTCTTCAGGGCCAAGTAATGTTCTTCTATGTAGATGGACATTGTGTGTCCATTCACAGGACACATGACACTGGGCTGTCCCCTTCTAGATGCTATGAATAAAGTTGCCATGGATTTGTAGAGATGAACATTTTTATTCCTGTTTAGAAGATACCTAGGCCTGGAATAGTCAGATCATGTGGAGACTCCATGTTTATCCCTGTGAGGGCAGGGTAGTCTTTCACTGACCTTCATCAGCTTTTTTTTTGAAACCCTCATGAGTGACTCTGACTTGCATTGAATTTGATTTATAGAACAGGTTGGCTGTGAACTCTCAGAAATATGCCTGCCTCTGGGATTAAAGGCCTCTACACCTCTCCTGGCTTTCATCCTCTCTTAACTATGACTGTCATTTGTGTTTAATAATATACTTTTGGAGAGGCCTCACGGAGGAAATGACACCTGGGCAGAGAACTTAGAACAGTGAGGAACGAAGCCCTGCAAAGGCCCTGGGGCATGATGGAGCCCAGGGTGTTGGGAGAGCAATGGGAGGCCTGTGAGGCTGAAGCAGAGCTGGAGGAGGGAGGATGTGGGAACTGGGCAGTACTGGTTGGCTGTGGGGTGAAGAAGGTGGACAGGGGTATGAAGGACACTCACTGATCTGCTCAGCTA